ATTTACTTTATTTATTATTTATTAGTTAGTATAGTATATAGTATAGTATATATATATATATATATATATATATATATATATATATATATATATATCTACCTATATCTGTATATATTTGTCTACGTCGATGCCGGTGTAGGTGTGCTTAAGTAGTTTATCCATGTCGCAAAAGTATAGCTAGTTTTCTTCGAGGTTTGTGCATAGTAAGGCAGCGTTCTTGTATTCAGCATTTCTTAGCGCATTATACATAAATAGGCCGATGTATGTGTTTTTTTGATGTTCCAGAGGTTTAGGTATGAGGCTCCGTGTTGTTTTGGTGTCATACAAGCTTGGCAAACATGTTACATTTACATTGTACTGTTTCAAAGGTAGGTATTGATGTAATAGAACGGCGCACCGGCGTAGTGATCGTGTTGAGCTATGTGTTTATTACGCAGTCTTGGGTTATTGGCTACTATGTACATTCCCTGCTGTCTTGTCTCTCACTCCAAATGAGTATACAACATTTTTAGAATAAAATGCAGTCCCTGTGACCTAATTCCTCGCATACTCAATCTCATGACCTATCTTCCTCTATGTACGTTCAACCCCCACCTTTCGTTCACTGCCATTTTCATGTATAGAGACCCACTTCTCCCTCATTTTATTCCTATTTTCTCACTCCGATTTGACGGTATAATTTAAAATCCCGAACATATCTTCAGACTCTATTATCTATCTTTGAGACTTTATATTCTGATACGTACACCTTAGCTCACCAATCTCTTCACTTTTATTTTTGCTACAAGCACACTCAACTCTCACCCATCAATTCAGTCTCTATTGGTTTGTGCATGTATTTCATCATTGTTTATTACCCAACACCGACAAACCCTAACACCTACCCTATCCCTGAATCTGGCAGATACGCGGAATCGGCGATGTATCGGTTCAGCTTCTTTGGTACACAGACCGTTGCGAAGGATGGCCTGACTCGTTGCGACCATGCGTCAGAAATGGCTGACCGCAAAAGGTTTCAAGGGAAAACCAGAGCATCCTCTCTGGTCACAGATGCTATGAAAGCACATGTATGTGCATGGGTCGTATGACTATGTGATGTGGTAATGCCATCTGTTAATGTCGTATGGTTGAAGTATTGTTTGTCCTTGTGTCAGTATGTACATGTGCACCTGTGGTGATGTTGATCAATGCGTCAGCTATGGTCTACTATAACATCTTTCAAGTGAAACCCATAGCATTCATTTGCCCGCGCTACTATTCAAGCACGGGTATATGTAATATAACAATTAGTCTTCCTGGAAATACTGAGCGTGCATCTGTCTGTGGGTGTGTACCTGTGGGGATGTTACTATATAGAATGCGTCAGCTATGGGTCGAAAAATGTTCCAGCGCGAAACTAATGTAAAGCTATCGACGAACGTTTGTGTGTCGTGTATTTCTTGTGTCGTACGTTATGTCATATGGCGATGCGAATTACTGAAATGTTGTGCGTGAGTCTGTTTGTGCGTGTGTACCGGTGGCGCGGCATGTATTAGATTTGATCGGTCTGTCACCACTGCAATTAGGACGGGATAAATCAGCTCTGGATATATATATATATATGTCTTTATATATGCCTTTATATATGTCTTCGTGTTTTTATTGTGTGTCTGTGTGCGTTTGTGTGTTTGAGTGTGAAAATGTGTTGAGCAAATGGTCGTGTCGTGTTATATTCTTATTCTTACTTTCTCACTGGTGTACAGATATCGCTGATGTCTGGTTTGCTTAACTTTGGGCTGCACAACTACATGCGTGGGGCAATGAATCTGCGCACCAGTTGGAAAGGCTTTGCGGAGATTTCCAAGCGCAAATTCACAGACGAGAACGATTCTGACCTCATGGTATGGGAGGGGCGAGAGTGGGGGGAGGGGGGGGTTGTACGGATATAGTATACGGTGGTTGTATTGGCTTGGCCAAGTATTGAAAGTGTCTATCTCATTATTCACGTACCCCCAGTCTTCTAGCATTTGATTGAGTTTAACGCCGCAGGATCAACCAGAATTGTTCATTGTCGTATAGTTGTGGTATTGAGGTTGCTGTATGTTGTAGTGCACACACCCATAGTCATGCCTGTGGGGTGTTTCTAATCCAATCATTCCACCTTTTTGGTTTGATGGGAAACCATTATGTATGTCGTACCTCCGCACATTCTAGTTGTCTGATACAAGACACAAATCAGATCAACTCAGACAGAAGTCTTACGGCACCCGATATTGGGCACAAATTCAAAATTCAAAAAAAAAATTGTCTAGAACAACACAAACCAGCCTATTTTATCGTATATCTGTAACTATAAATGAAAAACTACGTTTAACGACGAATCGTCTATACAATACGCACTATACAGCTTGCCCGGACGATGGGCTATACAGGAGTGTCGCAGTTTCTGTTCTTCATGTCGGTGCTCCCCAGTTCGGCACTCTTTATTGCGAAGCTCGCCGGATTCGAGGCGAATAAAGTGGAAGGTGTGTATGTGCATGCTGAATGGCCATACTATACCATATATCTTCTCTATACTCTAGTATTCAATAGTGTGTGTATTGTGGATTGCAGCTGCCCCCACCTTGCCGTTGGTGTTCCTAGTTTGTTCCTGTATATTTTAAAAGTGGCTGCTTTGGGCACGAACTGAGCACAAACGGGGCGGAAAGTTTGTGTATGTCGTTAGGTCGTACCTTATACAGTATCTTCTCGAAAATGTATTATTTAATTGCGTCTATATCGAGGAAAGTTGTGGCTTCTGTTGCTGTTAGTGCTCCTACTTTGTCTCCGTATATCGCAAAACCAGCTGCTTTCGAGGTGAATAGAACGGAAGGTGTGTGTGCCCATGTTTTATGGCCATACCCTACATCGAAGCTATTCGGTAGTATGGTATCAATTTTTGCCGACATGTTATTTTTGAGGATGTCACAGTGGCTGTTGTTTTTTGCTTTTTATTTTGCAAAGCTATCTGTTTTTCGACCCAACCAATCCGAAGAACACATATATATATATATATGTGTGTGTGTGTGTGTGTGTGTGTGTGTGTGTACATTCTATATAACTACTCTTGACATCGTATATTCTTCTTAGTAGTGGAATACGTCTGTGTGGTTTGATACATAGATCCAGTTTCTATTCTCCTTTCTGTCAGTGTTTAGTTGGGCGCGCGCTACGGTAAATCTTACCATATATGAGGTCAACAGAGCAAGATGTGTGCGAATCTAGACTGACCAGCATCAAGAGTTCAAATAATGTTGGTAGTTCGTGTTCTAAATATGTTTAGTGTTATGTGTTTCAAATATGCTTGGTAGTATGTTTTCTTTAGGGGGTAGATATGACTAGTAGTGTGCATTATAAGAAGGTAAATATGCTAAGTGGTATGTGTTCTAAAATATAGAATCTATGATACTGCGATTAAAATACCGAAAACGAAGCTAATTTACCATGAGTTTTGAATAGCTTTAGAGCTATGTTTTTGCCTAATCCGATTCCTACGCAAACACCAACACCTACCATACATGGAATTCGTATAGTATAAACTGAACAAATGAGACTATTTTTAGGATCACCACCATTCACTCATCTGCACAGAGTTGTAGACATCTATTCAGGTATCAGACTACGATATAAACTGTCTTGACTAAAAGTGTATATATCAGTACGCATATGTAGATGCATATTTGTATATACAAATGCATATGCATATGCATATGCATATGCATCTGCATATTCATATGTATATATATATATATATATATATATGTATATTCTCACAATCATTACCACACGTAGGTCTACGTATGGCCAATTCTGTGATGGACACAACCAACGATCTCATGTCCAAGCGGCAATCGTGTATGCTGCTGATACTCGAGGCCTTGATGCGTGCCAGCAACGAGTTTGACCCTGAACATAAAAAGGCACAGGAAGAAGCTGTACGCGTGCATGATATTATGGCAGAGGTGTGTGTGTGTGCATGTTTGTGTATGGTTTTAGCTAGGATTGACATGCGCTTGTGTAAGGATTCAATACTGAACCGCATGCAAGGACGTAGAGTAGAGTTTTTGAGTGTGTTTGTGTGTGATTTTGCTTTTGGCTGCGATTGGTATGTGTGAGCGTGTGTGCGAGTCTGCTATGAACTGAGATAAGTGGGGTACCTTCGTGTAGCTGTTTTCTCACCCCATGTGGTGCTGATATCTTAGAGATAGTATGCTTTAACAAAACGTCGTGCTTGTTACTTGCAAGGGTGTTCTGAAGCCTGCGCTACCCAGTAGGGTCTAGGTGGGTGTCTATTCATAGAGGGACAGGGGTGAACGGTGCACTCGTACCATATCTTCAATAGAATTTGTACACACGTTCCGTACCGAGCCTAGCGTTTGGAGTGTATGGTTCGTTCGCGTGCGTCGTGCTCGTGTATCGACTAACCTTAGTTTATAGTGGCCTTATCTGTGCCCATACTATTGCGGAAACGATTTTACTTTATTACGTAAAGCTGTGCATGTCAATGCGTTTTTGTGTCGATTTTAGCAGTTGAATCTAATCATATATATGCCTATAACGTGTCTCGAATCAAGCTGTTACAACTTTTCACCCGTTTACGTAAAACGTATATGTGAAACCGTTGACTAATACTCCTGCACCCACAGCATGGCGGGGGTGACCTCACCTTCATCAAATGGATCGGAACGCAAGTATGGCGTCGAACTGGACGTATCGAAGACGCGGCAATAGCCCTAGACCAAGTGGTTGAGAAGGCCAAGAAAATTGAAAATGGCCCTAATCTGGTGTTTAGGGTGCGGTTTGACCAGGCAACCATGCACTTCATTGAACAGGTCTGTGGTTGCCATGGGTATCCATGTGCGTGCTTTGTTGGGCGATTGGTGTTGTGTTATAGTACATTGGACTCATGGGTCCTTTCGATGCATGATTGGTATACAACGAACCTCGGAACCGATTGGCCTTGTCGCGCGATTTGCTGTCATTAGTCGAATGTGTATATGTATCGTCCTTCTGTATCTTCTGGTTTTAACATGACGGTTACCCCAAATAAACTTTCGCACACTCCTTACCATCTCAGGATTACGCTAGAGCGAAGGACTTTATGCTGCCGCTGATTGATAAGAACAGTACCTACACCTCCAAGACCATGACATGTGTGCTCATCGGCGCGTGTTGTGCGAACCTCGGGCTTGACAACCAGGCCCAGAATGCTTACAAGGTAAGTGCGTCCATGAGCTTTGGCGTACATTTGCCAGAGATCAGTGTCTAATTTAAATTACAACATGCATCATACAATTTTTTGTGAGCTCTGCCAGCATTTGCCACAGCTAGTGTCTAACGTAAATTACAACATCCATCATATGTGTGAGCTCTGTCAATATTTTGCCACAGATGGGGTCTAACGTAAATCTAACATTCATCATACAATTATGTGATATCTGCGAATCGTTTTACTACAGATGGTATCTGATGTGTATTACAACATCCATCATACAATTGTGTTATTTACGCGAATCGTTTTGCCACAGATGGTGTCTAACGTAGATTACAACATCCATCATACAATTGGGTGTGATTTCTGTAAATTGTTTTGCCACAGATGGTGTCTGACGTTGGGTCTGGAGGACGCATGGATGAGAATCTGAAATTAAAAGTTAAAACTCTGATGCGACGGAAATGCCAGAAATTGGTTGGCATAGAACTGACTTATGTGCTTGGATTTTATAAGGTATGTACGAAAATAGGCTAGAGAATCTCATGATGAATCGTCCAAGCACCTGTGTTTAATTGTAACGTGAATACGTATGCTGATTTACGTGAGCAGACGTTTATAGTGGGTACATAGGCATCTATGACTTCATTGACAAGTATGGTACTCTAGAAGATGGGGTGTGCATGTGCAACTGCTTACTAGGTCCCCATTCAACTCTCTATTACCTGAGGAAAGACAGATGTCTCTGCTCAAGGATAGCGTGTTTTGTGCTTATAGAACAAATTCAGAGATTATCTGCTTGGCGGTGTTCGAGGTTCTTGCATAGGCCACAGATCTGTCTTATCTCTTTGTCTCTCATGTCAGCCTTCAAAGAATATTTATTACTTGACAAAAAAAACACTATCTCTTGCATTGCATCTGCCTGTACACTTTGTCTCTGTGTGGGTATACAAGACGCACTTCCAACTGACGCATTTTCACTTTATGTGCCCGCCTCTACAACTAATGATCAGATTCTGTCCCTCGCGGATGTGGAGAAGTGTTTAGCGCAACTGGATGACTTCGAAAAGGAGATCGAAGGACATCGAACGGTAGTCGATGAAGTCAAGAAGGTGAGTCGGCTTTTGTGTTTGGGAAGGCACATGTAGCTGTGATCAGAGATGCAATGTCGGTGATTTTTCGAGATGGTCGTATCCTTTTGGCGTATAGAATGGATATCAGTGGCACGGGGCTGTACATGTTGTTGACGTAACCATAAACCCGATTCGGTCGTGGAGATAGATACGCATGTTGATCTGCTGCATGATAAGATTTTCTTTTCCTTTCCGAAATATTTTGGATTTGAACTTTGGCAAGCGTAAATTTTTTTTTATAAACCTCTCTATTCTGCACAATCGAAAGGTGAAAGCCTTTTTCGGGTGTATAGAACAAATTATAATCTTATCCAATATGTACGTTGCTATGCCGAAACACCTGTCCCTTGTTATTTGTTTATGAACTGTGCCGATCTAACTTTTTATTTCAACAGCATTTATATACAAAGTTTTCCCAATTCATATTCTGCTGTTTCTGTTCATCATTCAAACTCCCCCCCCTCCTCTTTTTTTGACCAGACGTCCAAGCACATGCTGCTGGTAGATGAAGAGATGGCTACTTGCTATCTGCTCAAAGGTGCATATCTGCAGCGCCTCCAACGTTCAAAAGAAGCGGTGGTCTACCTGAAGAAAGTGTGTGCGCGTTTAAGGCAATCCCAATTCTCGCCTTCTGATGCTACGTTTCCGCTGTCTTATACTGTGTACCTTTCCTACCATTGTGTTCTATTTAAGCGGTGGTCTACCTGAAGAAAGTGTGTGCGCGTTTAAGGCAATCCCAATTCTCGCCTTCTGATGCTACGTTTCCGCCGTCTTATACTGTGTACCTTATAGTGTTTTATTTGCTTGCTAAACTAACGTCTACATTAATACCCCAGCACCCAAACACCGTGATTGTTACTGCCGTTAAATGTACGCAATACGTTTTCCAGACTAATAACGCACCCCTCGCGTCCAATCCACAGGCTATCAATGTCTCCAACGAGCTCGCTAAAGAGTTGCGCAAGCGCAAGCGCATCGAACTGTACGACAACTACCACATGCCGTGTGCGCACTTTGAACTGGCAGGCATTGCGCTGAGTGTGGGCGATGCCAAGAACGGCAAAGCCCACCTGGATCGTGTGATGAAATATAGTGGATACACCTTCCAAAGCGGCATGGAGTTTAGAGTCAAGTTGATTCATAAGCACAGCATGCTGGACGACAAGCCGAGGCCGTCTGCAACTCTGACGGAGGGGTCGGACAATGCAAGTACGCCTGCTTAGAACCTGTTCGAAGTGGGCGATAT